GGGGAGATAGAGGGGGGAGGGGGTGAAAAGGAATGTATTAAACTTGACACTCGATCCGTAAAAGTGCACTAATTAACAGCCGTCAGATCATAGGGGGGATAATTTCATTTATTTATTCAGCCCAGATCATCTTGCCCTAGATCATATTCCGGTTACAAGTCTTATCCTGTCCTTGATAAGTCCTGTCCTTGTTTCATGTGTCCAAGATGCGTCTTTTCCTTAAAGAGCCATGTCCTAGATGAGTCCTGCCCAATCCCATCCTTTCTCTTTATTCGTCCTACTCTCTAGTCCCGTTATTCACACCCTACCCTCCAATAGTAATTTACATTCCTTTTTTCTCGTTAATCTTTCATTTATTTGTTCATTCGTCCTGCTCGCTTGTCCAGTTATTCCTTTCGCTTACTTCTCCTGTTCGTCCTGCTCCTTGTCCTGTTCGTCTTGCTTCCTTGTTCTGTTCGTCCTACTCCCTTGTCTTGTAAGTCCTGATCCCTTGTCCTGTAAGTCCTAATCCCTTGTCAAGTTAGTCCTGATCTCTTGTCCTGTTAGTCCTGATCCTTTGTGCTGTTAGTCCTGATCTCTTGTCCTGTAAGTCCTGATCCCTTGTCAAGTTAGTCTTAATCCCTTGTCCTGTTAGTCCTGATCATTTGTACCATTAGTCCTGATCCCTTGTCCTGTAAGTCCTGATCCCTTGTCTTGTTAGTCCTGATCCCTTGTCCTGTTAGTCCTGATCCTTTGTGCTGTTAGTCCTTGTTTTTTTTGTCCCTACTCCCTCCTCTCTATATATTTAAGACGCATGAATTAAGAATAATTTATTTTAGAATGAAATCGTACATCCCTGTTTGCTAAAAGTTTCTAGTTTTATGACGAGTACTTTAAAAACCCTAGTTTCCAACAAAAAAAATTATTGTTCTTTCCTAACACATAAAATAAAGAATAAAAGGGTTACGAGGGTGCAAAGTAGTTCTAATAATTTGACCTTGTTACTTTATTCTAGATGTGAGTTTGTCCGTACTTTTGGCATAAATTATTTTATGCATTTTGAATATTTTGCTTATTTTTTGTTTTATTTCTTTATCTATAAATCCTTGAATAATGTTTACTTTTAGAAAGATAATTATTAGACGTTGTGTTTATTTTAATATTTTTAAAGATAACACGAAACTCTGCCGGTTCCAGCTTATCAAATATTGATTTTAAATTCCTTAATCACTTTTTAAACTCTATTTCAAAACTAGAAATGGTGGAAATTGTTGAAATGTAAATGATAAATATTTGTTTTTTTAAAAGGACAGTAAAGGAAAAATGAAAGGGGGTATAGGCGGAAAGCTAATCACTTTAGCTCTTGATCGCGACCCATGAAAGTTATATCTGATGTTCCTGTCTCGAGAAATTGATATAAACTGTGTCAAATTTATACAAAAATTCATATATAAACTATTTTGTGTAGAAATATTAGGTTTAAACATATCATAGATCTCTGGAAATATTAAGCCCCCCCCCCTCACAAAATTCTGCATACACCCCTGAGAGGGGCAGATGATTAAATTTTATTGGGTTAACTTTGTGCCATTTATTTGTCTAGGGTACAAGATGGGGGGGGGGAGAAGGGGGGCTTGTGTCTCAAACTTAGAACCCGTATATCCTGTATACAAGAATGCATTATTAGAATATATCTCAGCATAGTGTTTGAATGAAATATCGATTTTACTGAAATCATTTCGAAACTGCTATAATTTTGCTCGAAATTACAAACATGTCAATAGGAATAAAGCAAATATTTTCTAACGTTCTCTTCATTATTTTGAACAAATCGTTCGCACTTTATTATTTCTTTTTGGAGTCTGGTATTAGGAACATTATTTTAAGGTCATAACTAACAAAGTCGGGTTTTTTCTTAGAAAGAGGAGAGGGGGGGAGGGGGCAGGGACAACATGAGCCCCGCGAAATGGCCTCAAAGCCTCCTTGGAGACCATTTTGCGGGGCTTATGGTGGCCCTGCACTCCCTCCCTCGCTGTAGACTGGAAATGAAATATGATATTAACAAAATGTTTAATATTAGTTGGCGGATTTATACCATTGCTAGCACGGGGTAAACAACATGTTAAAATAGTTGAATACAGGGTGTCCCACTAAACATGGCTTAGTATAGTTGAATATAGGGTGTCCCACTAAAATTGGCTTAGTATAGTTGAATATAGGGTGTCCCACTAAACATGGCTTAGTATGGTCAATACAGGGTGTCCCATTAAACATGGTTTAAATAGTCTAACACAGGGTGTTTCACTAAACATAGTTTAACCCTAAACAGGCTAGGAAGGGGTGGGGGCGTCTAGTTTTTGTCCTAGCTCTCTCATTTTTGGCAATATCACATAGAAATTTTGACTTGAAGGAAAAGTAGTTTAATGGATTTTTTGTAAATTTGGAATGCATATATAATAGGGTAGGGTACATGCGTTGCATCTAATTTTTTGGCAAACATAAAAATTTATTTTTTGACATTTTTTCCGATCCTTCCTTTGGCCTTTTTTCAAACATTCCTAGAACCCGAGCTGTTAAAGTTAGCGGTCTAATTTTTTTCAATTGCAACTTTATTATGTGTTCTTAGATATATTATTAAGTACCAAAGGTGACCTGCATGGAAGTGTCTCAACTTGCCTTTAGTTCGCCTAATAGACATGCCAATTTTTTTATGCATACTTTCTTTCAAGTTTATTATGCAGTTTTAAAATACAAGCATGAACAGATTAGAAATAATCATGGCGCTTCTTTCTTAAAGAATTGAATGTTTGTATTTATTTTTACAAATACATTTAGGCGCTGGTTTATACTAAGGGCCCTAAGCTTAGTTCCAAAATCAACCCACCCTACTATAGAAGATCTTTTAGACACTGTTCAATGTTCAAATCACAGTGATCTGAAGAATGCAAGGTTTCCGGCAAAAAACGATGAGAATTTTGCAAATGTCTTCTCAAAAAGTAAAACTAAAAACAAGTGCTTTCTTTTCTAAAACGTTCATGTCTATGGCTACAGAAAAGTATATGCGAGTTGGGTAAAGTAAAGCCATTTTTACACTTTGTCAACCCAGTCTTGTAAAATAAGGCACTCTGAATCTTTGTGAGATACACCCCTAAATTATTGCAGTGTAGTAACCTGAAACAGTGTAAACTGTAAATCAAATCATTCAATTTTCGGAATATATTCATTTCTTAACTTAACAATTCATGTCTTGATTGAACATGTTCACTTTTATGTTTGCCACACAATAAAATTTATTTTCTGATCCCTAAATCTTCGCAACCTTTGTTATTTCAAACTGAGATTTTTTTCATTCAGGTTCTACGACATTTGGTTGCTAAGATTAACATATAAAGTTGAAAATCTCTGTTTGTCTTTATGTTTGTTTGTCCGATCATAACTTGAGAACCCATTGACCGATTTGCCTCAAATTTTGATTGTGGAACTCGGGAGAGCCACGGGAATGTTCTTAATTTGGTTTTGAGATTCTAAGTTGAGTGCTCGATTTTTTATAGGAAAAATTAGCTAAAATTGTAATTTACGACAAGAGGCGTGTAAACGGTAGGACTAACAATGACTCCCTCCACTGGTCGACGCTGGGTTCCCAAGCTGTTATTAATATGTCATGAATTTGTGAACAGTCGATAAACGTCTTTATTTGTTTTATTTTAAATAAATATAAAAAGACGAGATTTTACGAATCTTGAAATGTATAACAAATTTCGCACAAAAACTGTTTTTGAAAAAAGTATATGGTTTAACGAATTAAAAAGAAAGAAGGATTTACTGCTTACTGAAAGAGGAAAGCCAAATATATTGAATATTTAAACGAAATGAAGATGAAAAATTGCGTGACTGAAACCAAATTGTAAAATTTGGTTTCATCAAAATTTTTCTTTAAAATATAATCTATTGATTTTCCGTCTAATTTCTATTCACTAATAAAAATTTAATATTTTAAACGTTTCCGTTAATTGTTTCTTATATAACCTGTCATAAAGTTAATAAAACTTGGACATTTGATCAGATTTAACGACGCTTACGCGAATTTGACACCAAATTTGAGAAAATTCCAATTTACTTGAAATATCCGTGTTCAAGAAAACCGATTAAAAATTAGAAAGCAGTCTGCACGCAGGGTGTATCGAATATTCAGTGATTCTTTAAATTTGATCATGATTTTCATTTAATAAGTATGTACTTTGTGTGCAATTCAAATTTTATGATTTTATGTAACTTTTTTTTAATGTAGAAAAAATACTTATTTTAATCAAAAGAGCGTTTTAAAAAAATAAAATTTTTCGAAAGTTACACTTACATAAAAGATCAGTACTTTTGGAAGAAAAAAATTACGCATTTTACAAAATAAACGCCCAAACCCTGCTATTCCCTCTGTTTGCAAATATCCCCATTATTTTCACTGAAAGGGGGGGGGGGACAGGGGCTCTTTCAAATCTTAACTTTCATTCATAAAAAAAAACTATAAAATGCAGTCATTATACTGTGATTTGTCAAAATGTTAACTATAATTATCAATATTTATTTAGAATGTAACTGATCCTGGCTGAATAGCTACTGGTTCTTGTTTTGGCTCGTGTATCAATAAGGTAATGACAACATTTCCAATTTTATATTTGGTTTTTCTAAAATCTTTCTTTTCAGGGTTTTTCTTTAATTTTCTCATTCCTATTTCTTTCCAAGTTCTATATAAGGCAATTTTTAGTTTCTATCATTCCATGTTAATTTTCAAATCTCTCTAATTTTTACAGCTTTTAGTTTCTCTTCATTCATCGAATCCATTATTATTGTTATCTCTGATCTGCTCTGTATCCGTGTGTGTCCGATAGTAAAAAGTTGAGTCTTAATAGCCCATCCATCCTTGTCTTGTCTCAAATCCTCGTCTACAAAATGTCTTACTGGAATTTGGGTCAAAAGCTTTGACATTTTTGCTTGCTGCAGAAACTTTTAATATATTTAGAGAATTTTGGCTGATTTCAATTCCTTCCCTAGCCAATTTTTTGCTTTTTACACGTGGTGGGGGGGAGTCAGAGGCGCAATGGGGGGGGGTGTACTTTCAACCCCCTTTAATATTTTAAAAGTTTATATTTACAGGGCAAAAACGTAAAAAAAACAATAAAATTTACTTGTTTTTTCTCTTAAAGATTTTAATGTCCCCCCCCCCCCTCCCCTCCATCCCTTCACATAGGAAACCATTTTATTTGATTGCTTAACTTCTTTGAAATGAAAACTGAAAGTAAAACCATGATTTTTGCAACATAATCATAATCATAATTTCTTAGATGCGTAGCAGTTCAATTTAAAGGGGTTGAAAGCGTAGAGATGAAAACATCCGATTCAGCATGGTACCCCTGTCCCTTGATAACCGTTATTCGATTAATGATGTGAAAGATATTGTCGTTTCTTGAGGGTTGAAAGTTTTCCTCCAGTAGAAATGCGCAAGTCACTTGTGTAGAGAACCCCCAATTTAAAAATAAACAGCTTAAAATTCTATTCACATTCATATTTAATTTACATTTGATCACACAAATTTAAGGGTACAGTCGTAAACCGGGCTTTGGCATCTTTGCATTTTAGGATCACTTGAAATTACGCTTACAGTCCCTTTAATTCTAACACCTATCTAGCATCTTCCCTAGTTTCCCCGCATATCAAATTCCCCGAGGGGATTAAGTTCCCCTAAAACTGTTAAAGTGTTTAAAATTCAGGATTTAAATAATTTTTACTTGTCCTCATGGGAAATTGTAATTTCTTCAAACAAAAATTAAGAAAGTTTGATTTTTATATTTAATCTTGGGCTCATCAAAAAATAAATTTTTTAAAGATATCTTCTTTTTGGTCCCAGATAGGATACAAACAATTTAATTTGATGTTTTTTTTCACATATTAGCAATTTTTTCAGATGACCAGATATGACATTAAGTCGGGAAATTTATTTGTCTATTTATTAAAAAATGAGATCCGGAAACCGCAATATTTTGGGATTTGTAATTTTTTTCAATTTTAATTCGGTCAACGTTTAAAACTTGCTAATTTTGTTGAAGAATTCAATCCTGTGATTGCAAAGAAAAACAGACAAAAATATATGTTTTTCAACAATGACCAAGATTGCTATCTAAAGAAATGTTTTTAAAAAGTTTTGATCATTGTTTTTAGCCAGAGTATGAATTATAAAAATATATTCAAAATGTTTACTTTTACAATAAGGGTAACAATCTCATATATTAGTTCTTTGTCTTAAAATAAAAAAGATGTAAGTTTAAAAATGGATTACATTACTATGCCGTTTTTTTAAAAGTAATTAAATAATATCATCCTCATCCTTGTTATGTTAAGGTTAAAATGGGCCTGTTTAATACAGGGGCAAATAGAGTTGTATAAAGTAAACGTGCAGCCGTAGTTTCAAGTAATTTTTAAGTTGTAGATTGACATGTTCGAGTCATAATCTGTATATTCAGTGTGATTTCTGACTTTTTTAGAAATAAGGTAAAAAAAAAATATTGCAATAAAAAGTAAATTTCAAAATCGTCCATGAGGTTGCGAATTAACGATTTAATATCAGAGAAATCACCGCATAGGCCTAATAAAAATATTTTTTTTTATTTCGTGTTTTTCATAATTTTCTTGGAAATGTTATGCTGAATTCGAATCTGAATAGCGCTTAAAAAAATAGAAATTATGAGTTAAGAGCTAGAAAACTCAACTGAAACATTAAAAAGTTAAAACAGATTTTGGACCTTTATTTGGCTATAGCTTCTTTAATTTTTAATATTTTTAAAATTGCTTTCCAGACTTAAGTTCATCATAAAATTTCCGGACAAATGATGTACAGTATGAAATTTTTCAAAATATTTTTTTTTTATGGCTTCAGGTGATTTTTCCGATATCAAAATTGTCAATTCGCAACCATATTGACGATTTTGAAATTTTTTTTCGGTTGCAATATTTTTTTAAGCAAAAACGCAGGAACTCTGGTGGACGGTTGGCTTAATTACAATATTGATCACCCTTACTTTATATGGTTAAGCATGAATGAGACATCCTCATTTGACAAACTGAAAATGATTATTATAAATTATGTTTCTCTATCTATAAAAGCGACTTGCACATTTATGTTTTTAAGATTTTGAAGGAAATTAACAGAATTCAACACCGATTTATTCCTTATTCCTATTTACTTCTTTAAATGTCGCTTTACACTCCCTTTAAGACAGTTCTCCATATATGTGAATGGTTACTGATAAAATACTGGAGTAGGGTAAAAGGGGGGGGGGGGGTTGAATTATTGAATTTGATATCTACATCTGTGCATCATATGTCTAGTATATATGTATAGAGTTCTAAACTGGTTTATATATATAAATATATTTAATACATGTGATAAACTGATAACAGTCTTATCATCAAGGACGTATTAAAAGGGTCCCTTCATTTAAATATTAAATATTTTCCTAAAAACTATTTTCTTAAAAGAATTTTCACTTAGATGTGCAACAAAATTAAGCAAATAACTATATAAATGTTGACGAATTCTATTTCATGTTATAAAATCAACCAAATTAATCGCTTGTATGCTGATTTTATTTCTGGTTATACAGAACCAAATATACAGAACCTAATATACAGAACCAAATATACAGAACCAAATATACAGAACCAAATATACAGAACCAAATATACAGAACCAAATTTGCAGAACCAGATATACAAAACCAAATATACAAAACCAAATATACAGAACCAAATATACAGAACCAAATATACAGAACCAAATATACAGAACCAAATATACAGAACCAAATTTGCAGAACCAGATATACAAAACCAAATATACAAAACCAAATATACAGAACCAAATATACAGAACCAAATATACAGAATCAAATATACAGAACCAAATATACAGAACCAAATATACAGAACCAAATATACAGAACCTTATATACAGAACCAAATATACAGAACCAAATATACAGAGCCAAATTTGCAGAACCTGATATACAAAACCAAATATACAGAACTAAATATACAGAACCAAATATACAGAACCAATTATACAGAACCAATTATACAGAACCAAATATACAGAACCTAATATACAGAACCAAATATACAGGACCAAATATACAGAACCAATTATACAGAACCAAATTTACAGAACTAAATATACAGAACCAAATATACAGAACCAAATTTGCAGAACCAGATATACAGAACCAAATATACAGAACCAAATACTAAAATAATTTTAACATTGTTTTTTTTGTTGACAATTTTTCTTTCTTAATAAGGGGCATTAAAATGTCAATTAAATCAAAACTCTTTTATAATTTTTTAAACTTTAAAAAAAATATAATTTGGTACTTTTCAGTTATAAAAAAATATTAATGAAAACTTTATTATAACGTCGTTTTTATGAAATTAACAAGTTGTTTGTTAATCTTTTTTACGCCGTCTTGTTATAATTTGAAATCTTTTTAGATGCTGGTTGAAAATCTAGAAATCAAGCCTGAAGTGGAGTATCTCGTCCTGTTAAAAATCGCCAATCTCTGATAAAGTTCCTATGATGGTTAAGAATTTCAAAACGGCCATATCACAGGTTAGAATTTATAAAAATTATCGTTTTTTTGGGATGTTATCTTAATTTTGTTTCATATATTTGTTTCTATTTTTTTGCTATTTTGTTGATTTTATGATGTATCCTTTTTTTCTTAAACGTATCCAGCATGATTTCGAAGATTTTATTAATATATCTTTATTATTTTTACCCGTTCTTATTTTGAACCAAGTTATGTATTCTTATGAAAACATTTTAAATAGAAAAGTTCATTGAATTATATTTGTGTTTTTTTATGGTTTTGATCGAGTGTCTATTTTTGAACCAAATTAAAATAATATCACACATGTGTGTCAAAAGTTATTTAGTTTTAGTAACTAAATTTTAGTTTATTAATTTTTTGTAAATGTTTAATTTTTGTTAATTAAACAAAATCAGAAAGATATTAAACTTATGTTGTCATATGATGGAGAACTAAAGATTATTTGCAATTAAATATTCTGTAGAGACGTGAATCTATCTATATATATATATTTATATTCTAAGAAAATAAGTATTCAAAACATGATTTGAAGTTTTATTGTATCAACATTTTGTTTCATGCTAGGCATTCTTCAGGATATTAATTTGGTGATTTCTTCAAATCTATTTAGGAGATTTTTAGAAATCTTTTAGGAGATTTTTATAGAAACAAAACTATTGACAAATAGGATTTTACAAAAAAAAATATACATTTAATCACATTCTAAATATACGTAACATTTGACCCCTGAGTAGTACGAAGAGTAGATATAAAAACTTGTATACCGCATTGACATTTACACGTCCTCTTATTTATGTTTATCAAGTAAATATTTTGTTCGAATTTTTCATCGTTTGTCTTAAACAAACCGTGTTTTTGTCTGTTTTTATAAAATCTTTTGATATTTTTTTTATCAATCTGAACGTTTTATCGTTGATATATATGGACTAAGTAGTTTCGAATTCAAAGTCTTTTGCTTGTTTTAAGAGAAACTGTTCTAGTAGATCTTGAGTTTATTATCAGCAGACAATCTTTTTGAAAACAGACAATTACTCATTGTTGACTTATTTCTTTAGTTTGGGGTTTAGTTTTTTCCCTTCTCACCTTCCATACCTTTCT